CTCCCTCCCCTTCTTTTCCAGTTCTAAGTCTTAATTCTCAAGCAAATCGGACATTCAAGTCAGAACATTATACTTTGCTTTCTTAGAAAAATCATGGATTTTCCTCCTATTAACTCCGTAGTTTGCAAAGTATAAATGGTCTCAAACTTGGATAGCGGTAGTTTGATGGTATAAAAGTGGTCTAGCTACGAGTTGCGCCTGGTGATGTCGAGAGTCTTCTTACTCTGGTTAGAGACGTGTATGTCCGAGTAGGGATAAGTATGAGATTTAGAGAATCTCTAGTTTTAGAGAACTCCTAATTTCCTTGAAAGATGGATAAAATTGGAAGTAGATGGACTTGAATAGGCCGTAGTGGATAAACACAATTCATATAGACATAAGCCATCCACAATTAATTTGGAATTGAGGTATAGTTGATTGATTGATCTATTGATTTTCCTCCTATTTTCTTCCCACTGGAATGCTTTCTAGAAAAAACTTCTGCACAAATGTCCAAAATTTGAGTTCTTCAAGACTTTTGCTTAAATTGGTATTGAAGACCATAGATGAAGTCAGATATCAACTCTTCTTTAGGAGGAGGAGAACAAAGTAAATTTCAGCAGCAGTAATGACATAGTAGAAAATAGCAACAGTTGAAAGATCAGACGCGGAAGAAGGGGGAATTTGCAAAAGAAGGACCAGATTATAGAAGAAGAGGAGGAGCTGGCAGCAGCTAGAAGAACGAGAATTGGAAAGACCGGAGAAGAGGGAAAAAGATTCCGACAAAAGAGAAAAGATGATAGAATCAGATTTTGAAACACAAAAGGGTGGGAAGGGAGGAACGAGAATGATAAAGTAAGACAATGTTCTTCAAATTCAGATTAAGGATGCATGTAGACCATATACATTGCAAGCAAAGTCACAATTTAGTCACTTGGTTAGCATGTCAAGGACTACGTTCACCGTCTTTGACCAATAAATTTGAAAGTGAAAGCTAAAAGAGCTTCAAGTACAATAATCTTTTATAGTTAACTTAGAATGGATGTGTAGGTTGTACTTGAAGCTCTTTTAGCTTTCACTTTCAAATTTATTGGCCAATAATCTAAATTAGAGTTACAACACAGCTGTTGATAGTAGGTGAAGTCAATAATCTTTTACATTTAATTGAAAATACCCTGTCCATAGAGTTTAAAAACAACAATTCCCTACACATCCATTCTAATTTAGAACCCTAATAAACTATCGCAATTGCATAACCCATTTTAGCCAGCGTTCTGAAGTACCAAATAGCACAACAGACTCTCAAAACTCCAAATAAAACAAGGAAAAAAATGATAAGATTGATGAGAGAATATAAAAATAACATTTTTCATAAAAAGTTCCTAGAATGAATTGAAAAAAGAAATAAATTAATACCCCGACATTGTTGTGCTCCCAGAGCTTATGAACCCCATAATCCACTGCCTGAAATTAGTAAAACTGAAATCAAACTCTGACACATCTGATAAAAAATTGCATCACATGAATCAGATCCAATCTTAAACACACAAAAATAACACAAGTAATAGAAATACACATAGGAATAATACAGCTATACGTATATGTACAAAAGGAAGAAGACGGACCCGTTCACCAAGGAAAGCGCCAGCGATGACGAAGGTGACATAAACAGAGTTGCGGCGCATAAGCACTCTGTAAAGCCCTTCAAATAGGCCGCCTCTGCTTCTTCTGGCTGCTGTCTCCATTGATTTCTCAGGAGATTTCTAGCTCTGCTCCTTCGGAAGAGAAATCGGAACGTAGAGAAATGCGATGATTGCTTATATTTTATTCTAAAAATACTACTCGATTCTAAAAATGTCCATTAGACCGGTTCAACTTTGGCAACCCTTTATTTTGGTTTTTGGAGAATTTTTGGAATATGTTTTCGAGATACAAAAACATGTAATTTTTGTTTTTAAGAAGTTTTCAAAGAAAGAAAGATCAAAAATTAAGAAAGGTGCCTAAAAGTTACTTTGCATATGTTTCAATTCAAGCTTATACGGGATTTCTGAAAAATAGTTGATAATATTGACCAAGAATAATGAAAGAATAGAAATAACTTATCTAAGTGTTGTGGCAAGTCACTGCCTTCAAAGGGATTTTAATTCGACTGGGTGCAAATCGTTAATATCAGCCGCTCTCCAAAATTCCACAATGCTCCCAAAGACGTGCACTCGTGGCTGAAAGTTTGAAGTTTGCAAAAAAAAGGTTGCCAGAAAAATAGGAAGAAGAATAGCCTTTTGAGAGGATGATAGAATAAATGTTTTGGTGGTCATTTAGTTCACAAATAATGATGCTTATATAGGCAAATCATCTACGTTTTCTTCCATAAGAAAAACGTAAGAAGCTAACTGGGAGTTAATGTTATATAACATTATTCTCGGTTTAATGACAAAATTGTCACAAAGACAGTAACTTCAAACCTTCTGAAAAGCTAATATCTTTTTACAACAAAGTCACAAAAATTAAGAAATTGTCATATGAATGAATGTGAACCATTTATGAAGTAGTAACTTCATTATCTCATTCTGTATATACATACAATCTAGATATGTTACAAACATTGATGGTGGAGAGGTATGAGAATTAATCACAAATTAATTGTGAATTAGAAGTACTTTATTCTTTGCATTATCTAATTAGAGTATAACGCCTAAAGAAGAATAATACCAACAATCTCCACTAATGCAAAGATGAAGAATAAGAATAATTTCTGGGCAAAAGGAAGGAACATATACTTAAGTGTTAATATCTTTCGATTTGAATTGACACGTAGTGAAATGGGGCAACGACTAATCCACAAATTGAAGTACTCCGAACTGAATGGACATGAGTTGAGACCCTCATGACACATATTATATCCTTAATTTTATGCAAATTACGTGATACTAATAAAGTGCTTTTATGGTCATGCACACACCTTGGGTCTCATGAGTTCTCTAGAAAGACATCCCAAGTATTTTATAAAAGGCGATCGCACCTTTACACTCACATAGGTGACTCCATCAAGTCTATCAGCATATAGACCACCTTACGGTTATGGGATCATTTAGAGTAAAATATGCTTAACCTTATAAAGCACTACCACATGCCATAGAGACAGGAAATATAATGCATATTGAAGTCTCATATGGCTTCATTTGACCACAAATGGGTATCCACTATACTTCCTCAATCCATGGACTTTAGCCTCACCCCCCTCGATATTTCAAGGATAACTCTCCTTGCCAAACCCTTGGTTAAAGGATCCGCCAAATTTCTTTCGAACCTTACATATTCCAAGGAAATAACACTATATTTCAATAATTATTGCACCGCACCATGTCTAATGCGGATATGTCTTGACAATTCCAATTGTCACTTGTGAGTCACAATGTAAAAAAACTGGTGAAGTTTGCGCGTTTGCCAATAAGTTTCTAGTGATTCAGCTTCTTGCCCTGCTAACCCAAGAGCAATAAATTCATATTCCATGGCCGAATGTGCTATACGAGTTTGTTTTAAAAACTTCCACGAAATAGCATATGCACCCAAAGTAAACACATAGTCACTAGTGGAGCTAACTTCATCATTGTCAGTAACCCAGTTTGCATCACAAACCTTCTAAAACAACAGAAAATTTATTAAAATACAAACAACAATCCATTGTACCTCTCAAATACCTTAGCAAACGATGAAGAGAATTCCAATATTCACTATTGGGGTTGTGAGATATCTACTCAGTCTACTAATAGCATAGGCAATATCAGATCGTTTATAATTCATGAAAAATATTATACTACCAATTATCTTAGCATATTCAATTTGAGAAACACTAGATTCTTTGTTCTTTCTCAAGTGTATGCTAGGATCATAAGGAGTTCTCGCAGGGGGTACATCAAAACAATCAAATCTTTAATATTTTCTCAATAATGAGACTAAGACAATGAAAAACCATTAGCAGTTCTTTTGATTTTAATCCCTAAATTTATATCTGCTTCTCCAAGATCTTTCATTTCAAATTTAGAAGACAACAAATTCTTAGTCTCATTTATAATATCCACATATGGCCAAAAATTAACATGTCATCCACATACAGACGTATAATCACATAATTTGATCCTATCATCTTGGAATAAACAGAAGTATCAGATGCATTCACAACAAACCTATTGTTTACTAGTGTGCTATTAAACTTTTCATAACATTACTTAGGTCTTGTTTAAGACCATATAGAGACTTTCTCAATTTGCATACTTTATTCTCATGTTATTGGATCACAAAATCCTAAGGTTTGAGTCATATAGATCTCTTCCTCTAAATCATCATTTAGAAAAGTTATTTTAACATCCATTTGATGTGTCACTAAATATTGGATAGCGGCTAAGCCAATAATAGTTCTAACATTTGTTTTTTTAGTCACCGGAGAATAAATATCAAAGTAATCAATGTCTTTCTTTTGCTTAAAACCCCTAATAACAAGTCTAGCCTTATATTTCGCAATTGTACCGTCAGGTCTCAATTTCTTTTTAAATATCTACTTGCTACTTATGAGTTTACAACTTTTAGGCAAATCAGACAAGTCCCAAGTGTGATTAGAAACCATAGAGTCTAATTCACTTTTAATGCCTCTTTCAAAAAATTAGCATCTATTAACGTCATTGTTTCATATAAGTCTTAGGGTCTTCTTCATTAAATAGGTAGACACTAATTCATAATTCAAACGATCAAGATCAATATTTTCAATTAAGAAATTAGTGATAAAGTCAGGACCAAAACTAGCTTCAATTCTACGTCTCTTACTCCTTCTAAGTCCATTTTCATGATCATTAGCAGCAATACTAGAAAAAGGCACAAGATGAAAATTAACAGACATAGATGTAAAAGCATTATTAGGCACATCAATAGGAATATTATCTTTCAATTGAAAAACATGTTGAAATGATTTTGCATATCTAGATTCACAATTAGAATGATCATTCAAAGATAGAAATCTATATGCAGCACTGTTCTGAGCATAACCAATAAAAATGACATTAAAAGTCTTGAGTCCTACAGTTACCTGTTTAAAATCAGGTAGACCAACTTTAGCCAAACACCCCTCGCACTTTGAGATATTATCTAATTTCTTATGAGTGACTCTATTAAAAACATAACACGTAGATAAAACAGCTTCCCTCCATATCTATCAGATAAACTTGAACTCAAAAGCATAAAATTCATCATTTCTTTGAGGGTTTGATTTTTTCTTTCGGCTACACCATTTTGTTGGGAGTATAGGGGCACTAACCTCATGTATAATACTATTTTCTCACAAAAAGCTTCTAGATTATTAGTACATTCACCATCCCTATCAGACCTAAGTATCTTGATTTTCCTGTCTAATTGGTTTTCTACTTCCGCTTTGTATTTTAAAAATATGCTTTCAGCATCATCCTTAGACTTAAGAAGATATACCTTAGTGTATCTCGAAAAGTCATCTACAAAAGTGATATAGTATTTTTTTCCACTCTTACTAACAGTATTCTTAAAATCAGCTAAGTTTGAATGCACTAGTTCAAGCAATTCTGTCTTTCTACTTTACATTTTTAAAAGGTTTTTTGGTGTATTTTGCTTCTACACAAATATGACACTTAGAAAAAATTATAAACATTAATTGAAGGAATTAATTCCATTTTATAAGTATTTTTATAGAAGCAATATTAATATGACCTAACCTACCATGCCATAAATCAATAGACTCAACAATATAAGCAGAATTAGAAGTACTTGTAAAACTAGTAATCTCTTGAATAATGTTCAGTATAAATAAACCTCCATTGAGGTAACCCTTCCCAATAAAGTCTCCTCCACGAGAAATGACAATTTTATCATATTCAAAAACAAGTTTAAGGCCTTCTTTATTGAGAAGTGCACCAGAAACTAAGTTTATACGAATAGAGGGAACGTATAGAACATTATTCAAGGCTAAATTTTTTCTAGAAGTTAACTTTAGAAGAACTTTTCCTTTACCCATAACTCCAGACGTAGTGGAGTTACCTATGTAGACACACTCGCCATCGATAGACTTCTCAAAGTCATGGAACAATTCCTTGTTGGCGCAGAGGTGCCTTGAAGCGCATGTGTCCAGTATCCAATCAGTCTTGTTAGACACCATATTTGCCTCAACGACCACAACAACAATCACATCACCATTTTCAGTAAAATTAGCTTGGATTGGAGCTTTCCCTCTATGCTTCGAGCTTTGTCCTTGTCTTTGATTTCACTAGAAAGCTTTGTGACCAATTTTCCCACAGACATAACAAGGTCATTTCGACTTTTGAATTTGGCCCTCCAGTTTTATTGAATTTATTCTGCTTCTTCACATATCCTTTCTTCTGGCCTTTCTTTTGTTTGTCTATAAACCCGTCTTTCACAAAAGTACCAGCAGATTCCACAAGATTAGCTTTATAAGAATTAAGAGAGAGATTTTATCTTATCCCTAAGATCGTTCTACCTCTTCATCTTTGAGACAGTTTGCTTCCTTAGTCCTCTTGTGACTGATTAGTTCTTGGAAAGATAAGTTATTCTTCTTGTGCTTGAGTTGGTTCCTGTAATCACTCCAAAAAGGAGTGAACTTGTCAAGCAGAACATTAGCTTGAAGAATCTCATACATCTTCATGCCTTCGTTCAGAACATCAACAGTCAAGTTCTCATACTCGTGAACCTGCTCCATAATTGGCTTATCATCAACCATTTGAAACTTGATCCACTTTCCAACCACATACTTCTTTTTCTCGCATCTGCACCATATTTCTTCTCCAAGCTGTCCCATATGACTTTTGCAGATTTATTATAAATAAATCAAATAAAGGGTTAGTCATATGGTTAAGCGGATGCCCTAGAACAATTTTATTATCTTTTTC